AAGTGACTAATACATGTTTTTTTTGTCTTTTTAAGAGATGAAGGTCTCTGTAATGTGCCCAGTCTGGTCTTGAACTCCTGGGCTCAAGAGAGCCTCCTGTTTCAGCCTTCCAAGTACAGAGTATATAGGTGTGCACCAGTGTGCCAGGCTAAAATAATGTTTTGTTCGGCACCTTATCGCAGTCAGTTTGCTTTAGTAGGCCATCTCTCAAGGCTTTCCAACATTTTTGAGGCAGAAGCGTGAACGTGTTTATTTCACAGTTGAGGCTTGGACCAGCCAGATAGCTCAGCGGACTAACGCGCTTGCTTAGGCAGGTGTAGGCACTGGGGGTTGGATCCCCGGCATGCTGTGGCGCCCCATCCTTGGGGGCACTAAGACAGCCAGTGAGACTGAGTGTAGTGGCTCGAGCCTGTAATCCCAGCGCTTGGAAGGCTGAAAACAGGAGGATCGCTACGAGTCCAGTCTGTGGAATGAGACCCAGTAGACCCTCAACTAAATACATTTCAAAAATTCCTATCACAGATGAGGCCCAAAAGGAGAGCTTGGATTTGGAGGCAGCAGAGCTAGGGGCTTTGAGCTGAAGTGGCCTCGCACTGGAGCCCAGCACTGGGTTTCCTCTTCTTCCAGCATCCTGCTCCCCTGCCTCTGTTTTTCTTTCCCCACCTGGCCGGCCCCTCTGGCTCCTGGTGCTCTGGCCTCCTCTATGTAAATGGGTGTTTTGGTGCAGCTCTGCCCTTTCTCTCTTCCACTCCCTCAAAGCCTTCCGTCCTGGCCTCCTGTCACCCCAGTGCGCACAACTCTGCAGTCTCTCCAGCACTTACTTTCTCTGGACGGTTGGGGGTGCCTGCAGAATAGCTTTGCCTTAACCAGATATGGGGGCCTGTCATCCCAGCAACTAGGAGGCTGAGGCAAGAAGATCTCGAGTTTAAGGCCAGCTTGGGCTGCTTACGTAACAAGACCACACCAGCCTCATGTCCAATTATGGTATCCAGGTTCTCACGGTAGGGTGTGCTTTGCCTTCTTTTTTTTTTTTTTTTTTTTTTAATTACCAGTACTGGGAAATGACTCCAAGGCCTTTGCACTGAGCTACATTCTCAGGTCTTTTTCTTTCTTTCTTTTAATTTTCAGACAGGGTCTTTGCTAAGTCCCAGAATTGCTCCGGCTGGGCACTAAAGTACAAGGCGTCTTGCCTAGATGCCGTGCTGTCAGCCAGAACCCAACCCCCAGTCCCTGCCCCATGGCGTTTTCCATTGTAACAGTGTTGTGGAACAACTTGTCAGGTAGTAAGAAGTGAGATAAAACTCCAGGACAGAGGAAAGGGATGGTGGAGACATCATTCTTTGAGGAAGTCTGATCACAGAGGGCCTTTCTGAGGAGGTGAGGCGAGCTTTCCATGGAGCCATGTGCAGGAAGAGCTGTTTGCTGAGGCTTTCTCTTTGGCCCTTGGCTCAGTGTTCCCTGGCCTCACGGGCACGGCTACATGTTATGTCTAGCTGCTGCACTGAGGCCTTTGCCAGTTCTGTCAGACACTACTCACTTCCGGTCGTTGGATGACATCTCTTGTAGCACAAGCACACTGTCCACCAGATACTTCCTGGAGAATAGCTGTGGAGCACAGCTGGTGCAGCCTCAGCAGGTTTTAGAGGTAGAAAGAGCAAAGCTGAACTACAGCCCCAAAGAAGAGAGCCGGCACAAATTCTGTGGAGTCAGATTGGAGGCCAGGGTTGGCCTGAGAGTGAGAGAAGTCCTGAAATAGGGCTGGAGGGTAGCTCAAGGGTGGAGCATTTGCCTAGCATGTGTGAGTCCCTGGGTTTGACTCCTAGCACCACAAAAAGGAAAAGCATTCTGTTGGGTGTGGTGTCACACACCTATAAGTCAGCTACTTAGGAGGCTGAGATGGGAGAAGTATAAATTTGAGGCTATCCTGGGCAATTTAATGAAATCCTATGTCCAAATAGGGCTCAGTGGTCAAGTGCCCCTGAGTTCAATCACCAGTATTGAAGTAAATAAATATATAGTGGCATAAATCCTCATCAGGGACCAAGCCTCTACCTTATCCTATTGTGTCCTTACCATCCGACACTTGCTTCTTTTGCACTATTGGGATTGAACCCAGGACCTCATGCCACAGAAGCCTCCTAGCACTGAGCTACTACATACAGCTCCAGTCCCTTTAAAATACTTTTGGAGGGCTGGTGAGATGGCTCAGTGGTCTAAAGCACCTACTTAGAGCAAGCTTGGCAAAGCCCAGGGACCGCGGTTCAATCCCCCAGCACCACATGCCAGCCCGCCCGCCCCCTGGTGGGCTGAGCTGGCCACACACACACACACACACACACAAATAAATAAATAAATAATTTAAAAAATAAATAAATAAAATACTTTTTGGAGACAAAGCCTGCTCCTATTGCCCACACTGGCCTGACACTTCAGTCCTCCTGCCTCAGCCTCCCAAGTAGCTGAGTCGCTGGGATTACAGGCATGTGCCGGATGCCAGTTCCTATGGCTTCTGCCTCCTTATCCAAGATGGCTGTTCAATCCCAGCGCCCATATTCCAGGCAGGAGGAAATGTTTTGAGGCCTTGGGGGCCAGAGTGTGTCACAAGCCGAAGTAAGGAGTGACTATCAGGAGACATCACATAGGCTCTGAATTGTGGGTACCTGCTCAGTCTGGTTGATGACTTTTTCTGCCACTCAGCGACCATCTCCCAAGTCTGGCCAGGCTGATGAAACCAGCAAGGACGCCTTGCACCTTGATGTTCAGAAACTGAAGGAGAAGAGGGACACACTGGACAAGGAGATAAACCAGTTAATATCTGAGTAAGTCTTACCAGGCTCCCAAGGGAGGTTTAAGTAATTTTGGGCTGCGGGGCCTGTAGATCGGTCATAGAGCACTTGCCTACCACCCACAAGGCCCCAGGTTCTATCCTTAGCACTGCAGAAAACAAAAAACAAGGGCCGGCCAAATAGCTCAGCGGATTAAAGCACCTGCTTAGGCAGATGCAGGGCCAGGAGTTCAATCCCCAGGTCTGCTATGCTGGCCCTGCCCCCAGGGTGAGCTGAGATGTCGCTTGAGACTGGGCATGGTGGCACACACCTGTAACCCCAGTGCTTGGGAGGCTATAAACAGGAGGCTCACTACAAGTCCGATCTACGTAGTGAGACCCTGTAGACCCTGTACTAAATTAAAAAAAAAAAAAAAAAAGTGCTTAACTACAGTGTCTGGTAACTAAGACTTAGTCATGCTAGCTAGGTATTTAAAAAAAAAAAAAAAAAACTGGCCAAGCATAGCGACACACACCTATAATCTCAGGGCTCGGGAGGCCGACGTCAGCAGCAGGATTGCTCAGAGTTGAAGGCCAGCCTAGGCTGCACAGTGAAACCCTGTCTCAAAGAAACAGAAAATGTACAGCAATTAACCACTAAGAAGAATATATGCAGTGTGTTGGTTGTTGAAGCTGTACTACCGATTTGGTTTGAAACTGTCTCATTCTATCTGTTTATCAATAAAACTTTGAATAAATAAATAAATTTTTTTAAAAAAAGAAAGAAACAGAAAAGACAGAACTGTCCTATTGGCTTAGGGGTCTCAGCAGCCTCTCTGGGAGGCCGGGGTTCCCCTGAGTGGAGCCTAGAGCTAAACACTGGAAAGCTGTCAGGCTAGCAGCTATCACTGTCACCATCCAGGATCGCTCTGGGGCTCCTTTCCGGCCTCTCACACTCGTCCCCTCGGCTCATCCACACCCCACGCGCCCCATAGCAAGCCCTGAGCAGCCCTACAATGTGCATGTGCCCCTGGGCCAAACCCACCTGGCTGCCTGGGTCCAGTGTTCATCTGTGAGCGCCTCTGGTGCTCAGGCCTGACAGGGCCTAGGCGTTGACCCGCTCCCTCTCGGTCTCCCCAGAGGCTACAGTGTGGATGAACTGGAGGCGCACATCTCCCAGCTGCACGAGTACAACGATGTCAAGGACGTGGGGCAGATGCTGCTGGGCAAGCTGGGTGAGCAAAGGCCAGGCCCACGCTGCGGGTGCTGGCCGCTTCCGGTGAGCTCAGGCTTTGCTCCTGGGTCTTCTGACACCCCCAACCCGCTCTCCTTTCTCTACAGCCTCTGCTCCCCTTGGTTGTTTTTAATCTTTTTTGTGGGAGAGGGGTTCTGGTTTGGTTTGTCATAAATGTTAGCTATTTCTTTTATTAAGTTTATTGGTGGAGGGGCTGGTGAGATGGCTCAGTGGTCTAAAGCACCTACTTAGAACAAGTTTAGCAAAACACAGGGACCACGGTTCAATCCCCCAGCACCACATGCCAGCCAGGCCCGCCCCCTGGTGGGCTGAGCTGGCCATACACACACACACACACACACACACACACACACACATAAATAAATAAAATTTAAAAAAAAAAAGTTTATTGGTGGGGCTGGGGAGATGGCTCAGTGGAATAAGCGCTTCCCTAGCAAGCGCAAGGGTCTGAGTTCAATCCCCGGTTCCACAAAAAAAAAAAAAGAAAAAAGTTTATTGATACACTTTAGGTATACATAATGATCACATTCATCATAGGGATTCGTTCCTATATATGTTTGTTTTTGTTTTTATGGAACCGGGGATTGAACTCAGGCTCTTGCGCTTGCCAGGGAAGTGCTTAATTCCACTGAGCCATCTCCCCGGCCCCTCGTTCCTATATATGATATATCTTGATTCTTTTTTTTTTCCCTATAAACCTCCCTTCAGCCTCTTCCCCTCCTTATTTCCTTCCTTATTTACAAAAACTTTGTTTCCATTTTCACTTCTTACTTTTTTTCTTTTCCCTTCCTGTCCCCCTTCCCTTGCCACCATTCCTCTTCCCATTAGAACTTTTTGGGCTGGGGAGATGGCTCAGTAGAATAAACCCTTGCCTGCAAGCACAAGGACCCGAGTTCAATTCCTTGTTCTGAAAAAAAAAAAAAAAAAAAAAAAAAAAAAAAAAAAAAAAAAAAAAAAAAAAAAAAAAAAAAAAAAAAAAAAAAAAAAAAAAAAAAAAAAAAAAAGAACCCGTTAGAACTTTTCTTCCTGTTTTGCAATATCTATTGTACATTTTGGTCCTTATTTACACTCCTGATTTCTCACACCAGAGAATGCAATATTTACACCTGTCCAATTTATTTCACTTAAGAATATGGTCCCAAGCTGGGTGTGGTGGCGCATGCTTGTCAGCCCACGGAAGCTGAGACTGGGGCTAATCTGAGCTACAAAGCGAGCTCAAGGCCAGCCTGAGCTCCATAGCGAGACCCTGTCTCAAAAAGGAAAAAAAGGGCTGGTGAGATGGCTCAGTGGTCTAATGCACCTACTTAGAACAAGCTAAGCTAAACAAAGCACAGGGACCGCAGTTCAATCCCCCAGCACCACATGCCAGCCAGCCCCGCCCCCTGATGGGCTGAGCTGGCCACACACACACATAAATAAATAAATTAAAATTAAAATTAAAAAAAAAGAATGATGAACAGCTAATAGTTTAAAAAAAATAAAAAAAAAAAAAAGGAGTATGGTCCCAAGGTGCATCCATTTACCTAGGAATTTCTCAGTCTTGCCCTTCTTTATGGCGGAGTGCTACTCCATTGTATTAAAAAAAGAAAAGAAAAACGCTTCTTTTTATCCATTCACCCACCGGTTGATGGGCATTTGGGCTGTTTCCAAGACTTAACTATTACAGGGCTGGCCAAATAGCTCAGTGGATTAAACGGCCTGCAAGCAGGCCTAGGGGCCTGGGATTCGATCCCCGTGCTGGGCCTGCCCCTGGGGCCACTGAGACAATTGAGACTGGGCATGGTGGCACATGCCTGTAATCCCAGCTCTTGGGAGGCTGTAAACAGGAGGCTCACTACGAGTCCCATCTAGTAGTGAGACCCTGAACACCCTGTAAACCCTTCCCTAAAATAAAAAAAAGCCTTATCTATTACAGACTGTACCACTGTAAACATGGGTGTGCATATATCGCGTGGTATGATGCTTTAATTCTTTCAGGAAGATACCAAAGAGGGGACTAGTTGGGTCATGGGACCTCTAGTTCTAGCTTTTTGAGGAATCTAACACTGATTTCCGTAGTGGTTCTACCAGTCCGCACGCCCACCAACAGTGCAGAAGGGTTCCTTTTCCCCAGGGCCCTTCCAGCATTTGTTATTGGTTGATTTCTTGATGGTAGCCGTTCTTTCTGGGGTGAGATGGAAGCTCAGTGTTGTTGTAATGTTCATTTCTTGAATGACCATTGTTGTTGAACATTTTATCATATATATTTTTTGCCATTTCTGTTTTATCTTAGAAGTATCTGTTCACTTAAAATGCCCTTTTTAGATTTGGCCTTTAAATTTGGAGGCTGGGTCTGATTTTTTTTTTTTTTTTTTTTTTTT